ATATTTAGAATAATTATTTTAGAAGGCAGAGCTGCTGCTTTATACCTACAGGTTTTGGTTTGAGAATTTAAAATAGGAGCAAATTAGTAGCAAACAATGTTTTTAATGAGGAAAATGTGTTGTTTAAGTGATAGGAACTTGCTCGGTTTTGTAGCTAGTAAAGAATGAAAATTTAGGGATTTTATGTTAAATTGGTTATGGAGCTTTCATTAGCTACCTTCATATTCCTTACAGGTCTTTTATATTAAATTTTACAGAGCTCTAGAAGTAAGCATCTGTGATTAAAGTTGTAGTCTTCCAGTTTGGTCAGCATTTTTAGAAATACGTGGGATGTTCTGCTTTGCTATCTTCTTGTGTTGGTAAATATATTTGTTAAAATGCTATTTTAACTGTCAGTCTTCATCCAGAGTTTACAACCTTCAAACAAAATACTGCATTAACCTTTGCAGCATAAGCTCTTGCACGCTCTGTTGTGATACTAATGTAAATGAATTGTAGGGGAAAAAACCTTAATACATGTATATCCGAAATGGCTGAGAACTTGTGGAAGGTTTGAACCCCAGATTTCTGTGACCACCTTCAACAATATTTTAAGTAAGACAGTGTTTATACACAGGGGGTGGGATGATAATCTCAATGCTCATAATATATAGAATAATTTAAATTGAAGAAAATAAACAGAAGATTGTTTGCATATCTGTTGAAATTCTTAGTGCAACAGCTTTTTGCCAGTACTTCCCCTGGGTGAGCTTTTCTAAGTGCATTCAATCTTTCACTCTTTAAATTTGTTTCAAGGTCAGTGAAAAAGACTTACCACCTGTAGGTTTTATTTTATGGTGATTTTGCATTATTAGTTAGTCTCAGTTGCCTGGCCATAGAAGAAATTGAATTTTTATGACAGTTATTCATACAGATTACAATTGGATGGAGGGGTGGAAGAAGAATGTAGTGAAGCTTTGGAAGGATTTTAATTTCATTTCATGGTCAGACTGGGAGAAAAACCCCACCTATATTGTAAACGTGACTTGATTATTTTAGTATTTGAGAGCTGGGGAAAGCTGTTGTGTACAGTTCAGTCATTTTGGAGAGATGCATGGTATTTTCCCTATTCAGTTGCCATCAGTTAGGCAGCTATCATAATGATGGCACAGCAGCATGGAATACATTAGATATTGTCTTTCTTATGGTCAGTTAGGATGGATTTCTCAGCATGAGGCTAATAAAGGCAAAACTTGCTGGTTGGTTGCTTGTATCTTCTCATACAAGATGCAACATAGGCACCTGTGTCATCAGAAAAGAAAAAGCTTTCTGTCCCGTGTCTCTGATTTGGATTTTTCTTCTAAAATTAGGCAGTTAAATAAGCAAGAGATATTAAAGCATCTTACTGAGGATGTATTGAGAGTATTTTTTTTTTTTTTTTGCTAGTTGTATGAATTAAAAAGCTCTCTTGCATTTGGAGGGTTATAGGGTTTGGTACGGCTGGTGCTCTGCATACAGGTAATAAGTTCAGTTTAAGGTAAGTGGGTGCTAGTTTTCTGTCAGTAAGCTATTTTGTTTAGCAGAACACCTTGTATATCCAATGTAGCATATTATAAATGCAAAATAGTAGTAATAATTATGTGCAGGTGCATATTCAAACTATAGCTTTATCTGACATGAAGTCCTGCTGGAGAAGGAAAACCAAAAGGAGAGAAAAAAGGTTAATAATGGGTTTGGCTTTTTTAGTTCTGCAATTTTAACCTCTTTTGCTAATTTTCTGTGTGGTGAAGGAGGTTTTTGATGGGACCTCATGAATTAAGGCAAGAGTTTGAACGCAAGCCCTAATGCTTGACACTTTCTGTTCTGTTATCCAGGCTCTGCACAAATTTCAGAAAGGTAGCAAGTGCTGTCAGTCAGCCACTTAGTGCTAACCTTGACTGTATGCTTTCTATGGTAAATGCGAAGTAAAAAACATGTAAGTGCATAAGCTGCCTTAATTAGCTTACATTTGTTCTTGATGCTGCAGGTTAAAAGAGTTTATGCAGGTAGATGTTGTGGTGAAATTGATTTATAGGTATTTTTGCATGTGGCAAAGCCTTTTGTATAGCTAAGCTATTAAAGTTTGCAGTATTATTAAATGAATAATATGAAATTTGCAGGTGCAAAAATAATAAGCATCAAGTTTCTCAGTGTATTGTTAAATATGAGAATGTTATCTGTGAAACTGCTCAGAAAGCGAGTGCTTTGTGTCATCTGTTGATTTTGTTTTTCAATGCTTATCTTTCTGAATAAAGATAGTATTCATGTATTTTTCTTTTGATGCTGAAATTCTAACGCTGTGCTTCCACTTGGGGGTTCTTTTTGTGGTGGTTGTTCTTGAATATTTTTATGAGGAAAAATAGAGAAAACAATTGGATTTTGTGACAGAATTAGAATGCTTTGTAATATTATAGGTTTCAAAGAATCAGTTAAAATACTAAGTTATCTACCATTAAGCATTATATAAAAATAACTCCTTTTACATGAATATTTAAGTTTTAGTATGATCGTTTAAAGCAGTTCTTTGGAAAATATTGGAAACATATCCTGCTATGTTAACTTTGAAGTCTACTTTTTAATTCACTGAGTCCAATAGTGGCCATTTCTGACATTCCATTATAACGACGTATGTGGTTATAAATTCTGTATTTTTTTTTTGCATTGCAAGCACTGGACATTTATATTGCAGGACTGAGTGGAAAAAAGAAAGAACTTAAACACTAGCTCAAAAAAAGTGAAGACACTTTAACTGGAACTTAGAATAAGGGTCCACCAGTTCAGTTACAGTTTACATTCGTAAAATTCTGGACATTGGTTTGTGTTCCCCAAGTCTGTGAGAGCCTAAGGCTTGGCCAATAAGGTTACTTAGATGTCTGATTTTATCACATGCCCCACGATACTGCTATCTTGGAAAAGCAAAGTGTTTTGCACCCATGTCTTGCTTCAGTGTATTTGGAGTTCACAAATGAGACTTCGCTGGGCTGTAGCCATTGTAGGGACACAGTCCAGGTGGAAATCAAGATGCATCAGGATTTCTGTCTTGTGATTATTACATAATATTGAGATTTTGAAATATTTTACATACTTTTCCTGTAAATGGGTCTATTCATAATATGTTAAACTATACCTGATTTAGAGAATTGTGTCATGCATTGATAATTTGCTGGGAATCTTAACACTATTCATTGCGTAGAAGCAGTTTGAAATGAATTACTGCTTGCCTGACTATTTGACAAATGAAATACCAGTGATCAGTGAACAAGCTGTTTTGTAATCTTTCAAGGTAGTGCATATACTTTAAAAATAATTTCAAATATATGTATGTTAACTTTTGTGTATACAGATCTTCATAAAAGTTTGTTTTCCCTGTCAAGACATGCTTTTAAGAGTATATCTTAAAATATCCGGTAACTTTTAATGTTACTATGAAAAGAGGGGAGGAGCTGGAAATTTCAATACGGCTTTGTGCAACTTTGCTGAGTACCTTTTATGATTTATATTTTTATTCATGCTGTAGTATAACAAAGTTGGCATCTATGTTTCCTTTTATATGAGAAAATTGTTTACTTATTCTTCCACAAACTGCTTAGAAGTAATAAGATTGAATAATGAATTTAGCCATTAGAACTCTGGACTTCAGCAGTGATGGTAATCTGTGAGGGAAGAGCTTAAAGAGGCTTTCATATCCCAGGTACGAGTTTGTAAGTAAATTGATACAAAAATTGTATTTTTACCTGGCTAACACATTTTTAAGAAATTTTGGCCAGGATGTCAATGCTCGATACTTTGAAAACATGTAAAATAGAAATTAGATGCAGATTAATTACAATAACTTTAATGGCTACTTTCTTTAAACTTACATTTTTTTTTTTTTTTTTTTTGTGTAGAATATGGGGGGTTTGTTTTTTAAGAATAAATGTTGAGACATATTGACACAGTTTGGGTAGTTACTAATTGTTTTCTGGAAACCTAAGCTCAAAGTTCAGATGTCCAATATCTTTGTATGTCTGAATGAGAAGCCTAAAGTTGAGACATAGGAATATCTATTTAGTTTGATACAATTATTTATAAGTTTTAAAAATATATTTGTCATAATTTTTCTTAACTTTCTAGTTGGATTTTGGGTAGCAATGCACATGACTTTTGTGGTTGAGGCAGTTGTGTTTATGAGATTTAGGTTTTAAGCCACAGCAGCATGATGATGATAATCGAATCTCTTTTTATGGTATTAGAAACATGAGGCTAACCATTACTTGTATTTTGGAGAATGATTTTGCCTTTATGCCTCTTGTGGAACTAGGTATAAAGCACAATCAAGACGCCGAATCGCCTCAGTTTCTGCTAGCTGCAGTGGGGAAAGAGGGTAGCTCTATCTTTGGAGACAAAGGTTTATTTTTTTTTTAATAAAAATCTTAACAGTCTTAAATAGTCTTAGGTAAAGCAGTGAGTATTTTAACTGAAATTAAATGGCAACTGCTTTTTGAAAGATGAGCAAAACATTTGCCAAAACGTATTTTCCATTGGGTAAAGAAACATGGATTGTCATTCACTGTAAGAAAATTCTCAATTTATATAATCTACAGTAAATACATGCTTGAAGATCTTTTGTGTTAATATGTTTATTAAATATTTATAAAATTGTATAGAAATATCAGTGGATTTGAGAGAGAACTGGCACAATATGTAGCAGAGAAATAAGCTGGGATGTTGGTCATAATTACGTGGCATCATGCTGTTTGGAGTGAACTGATCTAGCTCGAAGAAGTTAAGCAGCATCTCAAGTAGCATGCATCTGGTAATGTGGTACTTTCCTTGGATTAATTAGTCTTCCATCTCAGTACTTGTGGTGGTCTTGCTACTGAAGATGCTTTCTTCTTAATGAGTTAACTTTTGGTATCTCCATAGCATGCAGATTGGAAAATTTTATGTCATGTTTGTTGAACATCACAGATATGTTCATAACCTGTTTCCATTTTGCAATAAATCAGGTGAGGAACCAGGAGGGGTAGCCAAGAAAAAAACTAAAGTCAAAGGTATTTTTAATGTTCTTTTTCTTGTGGAACTTTATGTAGATAATGATGTCTGAAATGCATGCGCATTGCAAATACAGATTGCAGGTTGCAATAATGTTTACTAATACTGGCTATGTTGGCTAAGTGTTGTGTAATGATGCAGCAAACTATTATCCTTCCCATTTTTCAGTAAGTTTTCCTTTTTTTTTTTTTTTTTGTTTGTTTTTGTTTTTTGTTTTTTGTTTTTTGTTTTTTACTACTGATTGTAATTTAATGGCAGTGTGAGTGCTTTCCTAACTAGAGATACTTTGTGCAAATTTTTTTACAACAGTTGCCTTGTTTGGATTATAAATAGTTTATGATAACTTCATATTCTGCATGCTTAAAAAAATGTTCTGATGTATATGCAGATTTTGCTCTGTGTGAAATTCTCCTTCATGGAGTCATGATACTATTACTATATTGTAATTGGATCTGAGCACCTTAATTTCTCCTTAGGTCTGTGCTTAAATAGTTTCATCTGTTTCTTTCTTATGGGAGGAGAAATTTAGGTGAAGTTAATAACCTTCCCTTTAGTATTATTTGCAGGATTGACTGCAGTGATGATATTTAGAAATTTTCCAGAAGCTTATAGTAGGGTAGCTTGCAACTGATTTATGCCATATGTTTATTTATAATTACGGTGCTGCATAAACAGGACATAATGGTCTAAATGTGTTCAGTGCAATGGAGAGGCTAAAAAAGCTAATTAGCATCAGCAAAACATGAAACTACCAGATGTACTTCAGGTGCTTAACTTTTTAGATGTGCTCAGTTATCTGCACGCAGCATGGTGCTGTGTAAAGAATGCAGTCTCTTCGTTGCATCAATGACACTTAGACTTTAATGTGTTTTTTCTAGTGGTATGTGAAAAATGCACACTGTTTGTAATGCAGAATTTCAGTAGGAAAAAAGTGCATTTGCTGAGGGAAGCTCTCATGCTCATATGAATGTGACTTAGCATCTTGCATGCAAGTTGAAATTTTTAGCATTTGTTCCCAGTTTGCCTGTTATGACTTGGTTGCAAATGGTGTGTTTCCAAGAATGTAATAAATGTCACTTAACAATTCATTCCTGAGATTTGGATTATTTTATCAGTGTTTGATATGAGAATGAAGAAATGGTATGATATATTTAAAATACTTTGTGGCAAAAGAAAAAGAGTTGGAAGGGAACGTGATATTATTGCTTTTAGATTGAGCTATGTGATTGTTCACTCCACAGAAATGTTACACGTGGTTAGAAGCAGATGTTACAGGAGGAATGTTGACACTTGTCTGCTTTTTACCTCAACAGGCTGCAGTTTCTCTCAAAAGTTTGAATAAAAGTAGATCTGTTGTATTTTATATATATGAAATATTTATTGCTTTTTAATAATACAAGAGTATTAATTTTAAAATTAAATACAAATATTTCATACAGAGATTTAAGGGAAAAATGTCTAAATTTTGTTGAGTTAAAAAATCCTTATTCTGGAGAATGCTGCTGGTATTGACATTTTTTTTCAAAACTGTGGGCAAAGTGAAAATAAATATTGAACATCTAAATTTCAAGGGTGCTGTTCTGACTGTCCTTCTGATGTGTTATCTAGATACAGTGTCACAGCCAAATGTGAATTGAAATAGAAAATAAGCACAAGAGATGCAACTCCAGAAGTAAAACAAAGTATTACTAATAATGCTACATATGGAAAAACAAAGGTGAAATAAATAATTTACAATTGTTACTTTGTTTTCACTGAATATGGTCAAACCAAGTTAACTTTTTTGGAGTTGATTTAATTCACTAGGGCATTGCTGTTTCTTCTTAATTATTACGTACTTATTTCTTATTTTTGTAAAATATACACCTCAGGTGCATTTTTAAGTTTTGGCTTAATCTGAGGTAACAATGTCAGTAAAATGTTGTAGTATACATTTGTATCGTTGTAACGCTTTCATTAACAGATGTAGAAAGTTGTGAAAAAAATTTTCTTTTGTTGGTGTTCTTGACGTTTCTAGATCCTACAGTTGTCATACCATTGTCAAAGATTCAAAATTCACTGTGATGTTCATGCTCACAGACAAAGCTGGTTTTAGCATTCTACAGAAGTTAACAGTAAGATAATAGAGGCGTGGTTTTCACTAGATTAATGCTTTATTTGGATGCAGTTGCCGTAAGCTAAGGTTATTGGCTGACTGCATGGAGTGAGATGCTGCTAAAATCTGAAACTAATTTGTTTAAATTGCTTAAATCTTAAATAGCTAATTATACAAGTATAAATTGGCACCTAACAAAAATTAAGTAAGAATTCGATCAAAGCTTTTGGATAGTTGTTCATAAGAAGTTTTCTGATCTAAGAACGGTTCTCTTATTGAACATTTCCTCTTTTTTAAATGAAAAACTAAAAAGTAAAAGAAGCTATTAAAGAACCACTCAAGAAATTAAGGGAGAAGCAGGAATCCAAGAAGGAGGAAGTCAAAGATGAGGAAGAAAAAAAGAAAGCCAGGAAAGGAAAAGATGCTACTGATCGAAAGGACAAGAAAGCTGTTGATACGAATAAATTAAAGAAAGATTCTGACAAGGCTAAAAGAGACAGAGGAAAGGAAAAGGAAAAAGGCCTAGACAAAAATGTAAAATCCAAGGAGACTACAAAAAAATCAGCCAGTGGAAAGGATGGTACTATTCAGGTGGGAAAAGACAAAGAAGCGAAAAAGATAGTTAAAAACCCATCCAAGGAGGACAAGAAAGAAAAGAAATAAACAGAGTTCTGGTTCTGCTAATGAGGAACAGACCTCGAGAATGAGAAGTTCAGCATATTTATATGAATGTGGTAAATATGGCAATAAGAAGATAATGTTTTCTGGAAATAAGTGTGAGCAAAGGCTTTTAACATATAATAATGTTTTTGAAAACTGTTAAGTGTGTGCTGGCATTGTAAACACAAAGCAAAAGTGTCTGCTCTGAAACTGAAATATGTACATATGTTAGTATGCCTGGCTAACAATGTGTATTGAACACGGAAATATCAAACTGATGCCAATTACCTCAAACATACTCTAAATCTGTGGGGTGTTTTTTTTCCCTGTCTTTGTTTCTTTGAATTAAAATGCTCTTTTCTTGAGGTGGGGATGAAAGTGCAATGTTGTATATCAAATCCAAGTTTAAAAGCAATTTTAAGAGGATTATCTGGACACACATAGTGGACACTTGCAAGAAAATATTTGTTTCACAAGAACAACCAAGAGGAGTATTAATAGAATGTATTGTCATAGGAACTTAGCAAATAAATGTAAGTTATTCCTTGCTAAACTTTTTTTCCCTAAATAGACTGAGAAAACTATTTCATACATGAACATTTAAACCAACTTCAGTGTTGTGTTTATTTATGAGGCTTCAGTGTACACTCAGCCAAAATGTTGCAGCACTTTTGTTTGTTGATCCCGTGACAATACATTCTGCTTTTCTTCCTTGCTTTATTTATTTGCTCTTTAGGTCTGCAGACTTGATTCATTGTTACTTTTTAGTTAACTGCATCCTGATTTTTTCCCTAGTTTTCCAAGCTTCTGGTAATGAATACTTCTGAAAATTAGGCCACCTATTTCACCGTTCATGGGTATTGTTGGATTCCAATCACACTTCAAGAAGTGATATGCTACTACTACTGTATTCTGGTTGAACTTGATTAGAGAACACCTTATGTACCTTTGTAGCTATTATTTTCTTCAAACAACACTTTTCAAGTGTATGATACTTCCGTAAGCAAGCTCCTGTGTTAGTTTGTTATTATAGCTTCTGTATCTTTAGCACCATGGAATGATTTATCCAGCAGCCTCATAGAATAAACAAAGTTACAAAACATTTCTGCAGAGAAATTTCAGTATGTTATCTGTACTTGCTTTCAAGTTTACATGAGAAAGGAATGTTTTCTAATTTTACTAGACAATATTGCTTAGTGTATTGAAATATTAATTGCACAAAAAATTACACCAGATTCCGAACAAAATTTTTAATGGCAGTTGAAGATTTATTATTGTTATACTGCAGTATTATTTTATAGAAAACAAAATTAAGGAGTGAAACTGAGCGTGAGCATATGCATGTGGCTGGTAGTCTAAGACTAAAGTCCTGAAAGTTGATTCTGTTCATGGTTTTGCTTAAGCTTTTAGTATAATTTTCCTTTTTTTTTGTTTTGTTTTTTCTTTAAGAGGAAATTTATGAGAAATATTTCAAATGAAAGCTCTAGAAAATAGTACAGTAGCTTAAGATTCTAATTGTGATAATTAACAGAGATGATACACCAAGCTATTTTCTAAATATTTATACATGTGTGAAGAAGGAGGGAAAAGATGTGTGTGTTACGAACATTATACTGCTTAGCAAAAAACTTGACAGAATGAAGATTTAATAAATGCACTTGCGTAATGAACATTCTCTTTTAGGTTTTGGTGGTGATAGACATGTTTATTCATCTTTGCTTTGATAAGTGTAAAGATATATATTTGACAGAGGAGCACTCAAATCACACTTCTCAAGAATGGTGTCGAAGTGGTATACTGCACATCACTTTTTTTATTTTCGCCTCTAATAAGACAGAAGTTGTAACTGTCTGGGAATGCAATTTGAAATTAGTTGCCTTTCTGATTAACGTATTATTGTATCTATGACCCAAAGTTTATCTGGTTCTGAAAAAGTTTGTACTTTTTTTTTTTTTTTTTTTTTTTTTTTCCCCCCCAAAGAACGTTTTATTTGGGCAGCACTCCGGGTTATACAGATAACCACACAAAAAAATGAGATTTTTGCCCCAGAGATCTGTTATGTATCTCTATGAAATATTACTGTCATTCAACTTAACATGACGAGTTACCACATAAGCTCAAAAATTGCACCACACAAGTAAAAACTGAGTGCAACTCTGTTTTAATAAAAAGATGAAAGAAAATAGTATCTTGCAAGAAGTAAATGACTTACCCTATTACGTACTCAACAGGATTGAATAGGAATCAGTGATAAACACGATAGATGTGTATAAAAAGCTTGAAAGCAATGTTGAGAAATATGCAAGCAAAACAAAGAAATATTCTTGCTAATCCCTTTCATTTTGCATTCTCTTAAGTGCTTGTTGGCTGTGAAATATTGACTATACTTTGAAATACTCAGAATCCATTTATTGATTGTGAAGCAGAGCAATTGGTTAACTGGAATTGGAGATGTGGGTTATTGGAGGATATGAGGGCTTATTTAAAGCGGTCTGTGTGTAAGGGATGTGAATTCTATTTGTGAAAGCAGGGTTGCTGTTTCTACGCTTCCAGATTCTGAAGTGTGAGACAGTGGCTAATATAAGTAACTGGTTTTGTCTCCATATGTATTTAAAGATGATTGTAGGAGGAAGTAATTTTTTACTCTTGTAGCCTTTAATATTACTGCAGCAAAAGATGAATATAGGTCTTCATAATAATTTTTAATATTTCACAGTTGCTTTAATGACACAGAAGAAAACTGGTAAAAAATTCAAGAGTAAAGCTGGCTTTTTTCTTCTAGCTTCTGGTCTTGACTCCATAGTAGTGGACTCTTAGTTACACTACTTTTAGATACAGCCTAACTGCTTAACTTCATGTAATTTAAGTAATATAAAAAAGTGTAAGTAGAATTAATTCTGTTATTTCTGTTCCAATTACTTATATAAGCTAATGGAATAAATATGTTTTTCTCACAGTGCCTACAATTAATAAAATCTCTAGTTTACACAAGGTTGTTATGAGGTATACTAGTCCTAATTGTATTGAGATATGCTTGACTAGTAGAAACCTGATAATTATTAAAAAAAAAAAAAACAACAAAAAAACACAAACAAACTTTGATGGCTTGAAATATAGTACTTCTGTTGTTTCAATTAAAGTTACTAAAGATTGTTGTTACCAGTAGAGGACTGTTCATTATAGTGTAGCCTCTGCTTTCTTAAATATTGGTTTTCTGTTGACTTCTGTGCCTACAACTCTTGAGAAACTGGTTTGTTTTGGGCAGTGTGTGTGTTTGTTTAAGAAGGTAGTTTTATCCTAATTGATCTTGGAACTTAAATGTGAGCCTAGGGAAAATGATATAGGATTATAGGGGGATTCTGTTTGGAAGGGACTTGAGGAGATCTTATTCCAACATCCTGCTCAAAACAGGGTCATCTCAGAGGCACGACCGGGTTACGCTGGCCGTTACCCAGTGTGGTCTTTAAAACCTCCAAAGATGGGAACGCGCAACCTCTCCGTGCAGCCTTTTCCACTGGTTTGACTGACATGGCGGGGGGGGGTGTGTGTGTATAAGTTTTTCTTATATCCAGTCTGAACCTCTCTTGTTTAAGCCTTGCTTGAATACTTCGTAAAGGATAGTTGAGAGGAGGATTAGGCTAATATCAATACATTATTTCTTAAGGATGTGGTGTTTTAAGATGTGGTGTAATTTTTCAAGGCTATGAATTGTCTTACCATGGTATTGATCATAGCTGTTACCGGTTGCTTTCTTTTCATTGTGTTCTGATCCAGAAAGGCTCTGTGGTATAGACAGTAAGCATGTAGTGAAATAGTGGTGAAATTCCATCAGCCGTACTTCTTCTGTAATAATTTAGTTATCAAAAGAAACTGGTGATTGATATTACTTTATTTTAAGTAAACTACAGTTCTCATCAGATCTAAGATTTAACATACGAAGTTAAAATACCTCTTCTCATTGTGAGCAGCACGTTATAAAGTTCAAGTTGGTTCTGTATAAAACCTAAAAAAATCGATCACACAAAACACTTTTTGCCCAAAGAGAAAAACAGTGAGAAAAACCTGCTGCCGATTTTTCTCCTGGATACTGAATAGATGTTGAGAATAGCATAGTCATTTGTTTGGTCACTTTGAAATAAAGGCAAGTGCTTTAATTTCTGTCCCTTTTCGCCCCTCATTGTGTGTTTGTCTTCAAAACATTTGTTTACTCTCTGAATACACTTTAGTCTTTGTCTATATCACTGTATATCAGGACAGCCCTGTAATTGTGATCGCTAGAATACATTTTGGAGAGTTTAACATCAGTTAATTTAATTAAATCAAATTTATTAGTTTGTAATTGAATCAGATCAAAAAGAGCATAAAGTTAACTTTATAACTGAAAAATGCAGGCCTTAAAGAAAGATCTGTCCCAGCACAGCCAACATCACCAGAATCTGAGGAGACCATCCAGCCTGCTGAGAAGTCATATGTCGAATCAGGTAAGGCCTTTCGTAAAACATAGGTGAAACAAAAGACATGATGCTTTATTTGAATTATAATTCCGTTTCCTCAGCATGCAAACTCATTGTGCTATTTCTTTGGGTAGAAAAATAAATCTTTAATCACTTTTAGGTGTTGCTTATTCATTGTAGCTTATTAGGAATCACTGTTGATAGCGTTATATAAATCACTGATCATGAAAAGTTTACAACTGAAATGTATAGAAGGCACTCTTGCCAGCTTTCATGGTTACCACTGAAACCATATCACATCAGAATAACTTTCTGCTGATGTACAGTCGTGTTCTTTACACATATGCAACAGTGTACCCAGTCAGAATAACAG